TACAAGAGAAACGAGGTTCTGTTTTTAGCCACACAAATTCCTAAGAATCTAGCCTCTAAGGTAAATTCTGGGTAACTCAAAGTTTTCTTATCAAATTTTTGGGTCATCAGAGTACTTTGCTTCTTTTCTTTTGGCTAGTTTACTGTTCCTCCGCATCTTCACTAGTGATCAGGGAGGCAAAGGAGATGACACTGCTTCATCCTACAATCTATCTTCCTCCCAGCTACCTGAGTGATGCAGCTAAAAGGCAAAGCCCGTTTGTCTCTGTGGCTCTTCGTCATCTAGGAGATAAAGGGTGAGTTCCTTCACAGGGCATTCAAAGCTCTCCCTGAATCAGGCCTTGTCTTCTCATCCAGCTTCCATCTGAGCGGCTCCCTGCCGGCACCCTATCCTCCACCACCACCAACCACTAGCTTGCTGCTTCCCCACATACACACATGCTAGCCTGTATTCTGGAGCCTGCCCTACTCTTCTTCTGCCACCCACCCGCCTATCTTTAAGATTCAGTTAAATGTAATCTGGCTCCCACCACTACCCAGAGACAGGGTTAGGTATCCCTTTTGGCAGTTTTGTTATTCCCTAGAAATATCTCTGCATATTCCAGGCTAGTACTATCATGTGTTACATGGCTGTCAACAGCACCAGATTGTGAGTTCTTTCACACCAAGGTCTATGTCTCGTATCATCCCTGTGGCTTAGTACCATGGCCTGGAACACTCTTAAGAGTGTAATAAAATGTCTTTGAATGAATGAATTAAAAGAATACATTCAGATAAAAAGTTTTATGCAGATTACTGCTAAAGCTTTAAAGGGCTAAGTAGCTAAAAGTATAGACAAAATAAAATGATTTTTTGGATTTCCCCCCAATTTTAAATTTTTTATACTCAGTTTTACAAAATAGCACAAATATTTACAATCAGCATTCCTTATTTAGTGGAAGGTCTCAACACCTTGCCCAGAAAAGCAATGTAAAAATATATCAGAGTTTATAGGCTATAATTAAAGCAAAACTCAGAGGAAAATTCATAGCTTTAAATATAGTAAAAAACAAGAATGAGTAAAAATAAATGAACTACCCAACTCAGGAAATTCAGAGTAAATAACAGAATAAAGCTAAGGAAAGCAGAAAGAAGGAGATTAGCAAAGGTAAAACAAAAAGATAATCAATTAACAAACAATAAAACAACAGGATGAATAAATATATCCAGAACAATCTTATCAAAAAAAAAAAAGGAAGGGGGAAAGAAAATATTCATTACCCCTATCAGATATATGAAAAAAGAAAACACAAACACAAAATAGGAATTGAAAATAAGGAAACAGTCACAGGTAAGAGGAAATAAAAACCATTTAAAGTGACCGCTGGATACAAAGTCGTTTCTGGTGGAGCTGAGTTGCGGGTCTCATGCCCCAAGTCCAGAGGGAAGAACAGAGCTCTCACCACGTTCTGTCTGGATGCCCACCTCTCATCAGAAACCACAGATACCTTATCACTTGCCTCAATGAGTAAGGAACTAAGGCAACTTTCTTTCAAACACAGCAAGGAATGAAAGGAAATGGCTAGCAAACAAATGTCCCAGGGCCCATAGTAAGCCATTATAACACGTTATTATTTACTAGAAAATGAACAATAAAATAATTTTCCGAATTCCAAATTAAGGAATTACTTTCTCTGAGGGAAAATAATACAAATAATATATCCTTAGTTTTTCAATAACAACATTCATTTTGGTAACACTGCATTTTATCCAAAAACTTATTTCCAATCAAATTAGAAACGATTTATTACTGAAAGCCTTTTATGGTTGAAATAATAATCTTTTCCAAGCACTTCGACTTTACAAAGAGGTTTTTGCATACTATCCTCATGACCCTGTTGTATTTTCCTCATCCACAAAGACTCTGAGGTTGACAGGAGTTGAGAGAGTTGCCCATGCTCACAAAGCCAGTAAGTGGCAGAAGAAGGCAGGTCCCTAGATGGCTAACCCAGCCCTTTTCCCACTGCTCCACCGCACTTAGGACAAACTACAGCACCTCCCTCAGTACAATACTATCCACTCTGTTACCAAGGCTCTAAAAGTTAAGACTGACATCTAATGGCAAGTTCAGATCCTGATGAAGTCTGATGGAATTTTAATTCACTGGCACTGAAATTCTTCCATGAGAAAGATGGACAGAATGGGGATGACTTTCCAATTAGGATACAATCACCTTGGATTCCTGCAGGATCAGGATCCTATCATTTTGGTAAACTTTACCATCTACCAAATGATAGGAGGTGAAAATATGTAAACACTAATATTGGCTATTTATTTTTTTACTGTAATTGCAAAGAAAATTTCTTAATGTCTTGGTGCTTCTAGTTGCTCATTAAAATTTGGAAACATAAGCACTAGTCAGTGACTCAATTAAAAAAGTGCAGCAGCCCACTGGCCTTGGCCCTTCCTCATATCCACTTCACATCTCAAAATTCCTTCCCATTCTACCAGGGTCATGAGATTCCATTCCCTCTTCCCATCATTCTAACACTAAAATCTAACTATCCCACTCCCTTCAAGTCTCAACGCTGCCCGTGTAAGATTCGTCACTTTCTAACTCACCTTAGGCCTCCTCATGTACTCCCCTCCAACTAGTAAGGACTTGAAAATGAATTACACCCTCATACTCTGGGATGAAGCTGAAGTAAAGCTAAGGCTTACCCTAAATTTTGGTCCAAAATTTTACACAGAGAAGTAGGGCACCACCAGGGAGCAGTGTGCTGCCTACTTTTAACACGAGCTTGAAGTAATTTTCAGCTTCACTTTTTTCTAGACTTGATTATCACTAGAGTTGCCACCGATTAAAGAACATAACACGATAAGGATATCACAAAATACAACTGTGGAGTTAATAACAGTAATTGCTTTGGAGGATTTTGATGCTGTTTTGCATTAAGGAAAAGGAAAAAAGACGGCTTTTACTTCCAGTTAAATACCATGGGGATAATCAGCAAGAAGGGCAAAAAGAATCCTGAAGTTCTTAAAAGTTTCATCTAACTTTGCTGTGTTGTAAGCTTGTAAGTATATATATATAAGTTAAAGTCAAAATCCTGGTATCCATTGAGCTTGTCTGATGACCTTGATTACACCATTCATTTCATTCATTTCAGCCTCAGTTTCCCCCATCTGTAAAATGGGGAGAATAATATGTGTTGGATGAGGGTACCCTGAAATAATTCACTAATCAGTGCCCAGAAGACATCCTGCTATTATGAGATAAAAGGTGGTACAGTCTGAAAAAAAAAAAGTAAAACGTAATATGTCATTCTGGTAAAAAGATTTATAAGACAAACTCACTGGAAAATTTTACCAAAGAAATAAGTTATTTTTACAGATTCTTTAAAAGTATATTTAACAATGGAATACTACTCAGCCATAAAAACCGACAACATAATGCCATTTGCAGCAACATGGATGCTCCTAGAGAATGTCATTCTAAGTGAAGTAAGCCAGAAAGAGAAAGAAAAATACCATATGAGATCGCTCATATGTGGAATCTAAAAAACAAAAACAAACAAAAACAAAGCATAAATACAGGACAGAAATAGACTCATGGACAGAGAATACAGACTTGTGGCTACCGGTGGGGGGTAGAGGGTGGG